TTCTCCTTCTGTTTTCAGCCTTGAAAAAGTCCTGGAGGATAAGCAGCCATAAGTAAATCATAAAATCAACATCACCAATCAATAATACAATTTGTATTCATATCATACTTGATGTCTGCAAACCTTTTTTACACATATTGGTGCACATTGTAGCATAACCCACAAATATCAACAAAAGAGGCAAAGTCAAAACAAGGTTCATTTTAATTATTTATTTATGTGCAAAACACTCTAAGGTCTCATTCAAACCTAATAGTCCGCTTCTCTGGTGTGCAACAGACGACAGTTTGTTACATTGTTTCATTTTTCAGAAGGTTCGGTTTGCATTAACACGGGCAAAACTCAAACGGACTATAAACTTTAAACTCACATTTACTACGCCACTGAACATAGCCTACTTACATTTAAATGTGTACTGCCTGGATTCAGCCATTTTCCGCCAAAGATTTTGGAAATTGGTCCGTGCGCAAAGCATCGTGGGGATTTTAAGACCGCCGAGGATACACATGTGCATCCTCGAAATGTTCCCGCAACAAAGGACTCAGTCCTCGGTAGAATTCCAAGGATCCTGTATATTGGAACAGTCCTTCGGCGGGATTCGATGACGTAGCATCCTTGAAACAGTGGCTCTGAAGGTTCACAACCTCATGATAACCTCATATTTTTTTAACTTAGGATCGTATACCTGTGTTTAGTCTAGAAAAAGGTAAATGTGTGCATTTTATTATAAAGTTGTGTATATTTACAGACTGTTGCAAAAACTAAGAAGCTTAAATCAGGTTTAAAACTAAAAGAGCTTTGAAACACAATGAAAAATGTTTGGAGTTTTATTTTAGTTATTAATTGAATTTTTTGTCCAAGAGATGCTGATTTGAAACCGTTGTTACATACAGTTACAGCATTTCCTGTTTCTGCCGGAGAGAGGGGAGGCCGTCCCAAAGCTTGCTGCTGTATTTACTCCCTCCATCTGAAAGGAGGGAGCCTCGTTTAGCTGCGAGTGTCACTCCGCCACGGATTGGGAGTGGGTAGGGTGTGATTTGGAATTGGGCCTCTCTGTCCGGCTATAGAGAGCCGAAGTCCCTCCCTTTCTGGTGGAACTCCATGGGACCTTATTTAGGAAAAATTATGCATTGAAGTCAATGGCGAGAGAAAAGTTATCTTTCGATCCCGTTTGAATTGTGCCATGAATTACCTATGATGTTTGTCAATCTTAAAAAATAATTTCCAAGTCAAAACTAATTATAATTGTTGTAAAACTGTGAAGCAGTGGCGAGCCGTCAGGGCCCTCTAGGCCCTCTCTGAGGGCCTAAGATATTCTAAAAAATAATATTTGAAAACATACAAAAAAAAGTTTTTTAGTTATATTCTTCATTAGTTTTACCAAAATAACTTAATTTAATTGTATTTAAAATAACATTTCCAAATAAATAAATCCTTTGAATCTGCCTGTTCAGTTTCTGTTGGAGTGTGAAGGGTTAAATGAAAGAAGCTCCTTTAGGCGTCTCTGCGAGTTACTGTGAAGACGGGAGAGCTTGTTGGTCCCTCTGTACATTCACAGAGGGCCCGCTATAGTAACTCAATGAGAGAGTAATGTCAAATGACAGTACAACCAATCATATCTTCCCTCTAAATGGGTGGGCTTTATTTTCGCGGACTTTATGACAAGTTCCGCCCGCTGTGAGGTCTATGCAAGTGGTGCAGTGACGCATCCTAAAACCCGGAAGTAAGCTGCGCTCGGGTTCCCTTGACAAAAAAGCAATGGGATTTCTCCATAGGGTTTTGGAAAATAGCTTGAAATAAGGTCAGTGGAAAACGAACCTGTTAGATAAATGCACGTTTTGTTCAACCGGATAATATCCACATGTCTACCCTACTTTTATAATTTTCGAATCATAAATCTAATCGATAGATTTATGATAGATAGATTTATGAACCGAGTCATTTTGAAGATTGAGTTGGAGTGGCAAAGGATCAGCTGCATGACCCCGCCAGTGCTTCATCCAAAAGGACAGGAGGATGGACTTTGTGTTTCAGTGATTTATCATCAAAGGTAGGCCTCAGTCATTTTCAATGTGGGCCGCCGTGCCGACTTCATTCATTTTTTATTGTTACTTGGCTGTCATGATAGGTGTTTAGATAAATTGTGTTGTTTTGTGTGGTAGAGGGTCGCTGTAATTGATGCGTTTTGCAGCCCGGACCGCTGTTTTGATATTCCGCTGTGACTTAATAACTCTTATTTTTTTCGAGGGAATGGGTGGGGGTCAGAGGGCCTAGGTATAAAAGTCACGGCTCGCCACTGCTGTGAAGTAACGCTTTTTTTTTTGTGTAACCGCTCAATGAACTACATCTCTGGTCTCGCACAACACACGTCACCAACACCAAGCTGGCACGTCTTTCAGAATGAGGCGAAAAGTATTAAACGAGGAGAAAATCACTACAAGTCTGGGCATGTTGAGAGCTGTATACACACAAAAGGGGATTTAGTCGGTTCCGTAAGAGCCGAGGTGAGTGTTAAAAGAGTGTAATGTGTAACGTTAATGTCAGCTAGCTAACATTAGCTAACAAGGTACACACTAACAAGGTAACACAGCAACTTGTTTTCTCGTTAAGAACTGAGTGATCGCTGTGTATGCTGTGGATAACATTAGTGTTGGCAAGGACAAGGTACGCAGAAAACTAGTTGCTTAAAAAAAACACAAGATTGTGCTTGTTAGCTAATGTTAGCTAGCTGACAATAACGTTACACATTACACTCGTTTAACGCCCCGAAACCTTGTACAGCCGGTCCCGCATGTTGGCTCTTACGGAACCGACTAACTCCCCTTTTGTTTAATAGCAGCTCTCAACATGCCCAGACGTGTAATGATTTCCACCTCCTTTAATACTTTTCACCTCATGGTGTTGGTGAATGGTGACGTGTATTGTGCGAGACCAGAGATGTAGTTCATTGAGCGGTTTCACACACAAATAAGTGTTACTTCACAGTTGTACGACAAACTGTGACTTTTTTTACGTAATTCATGGCACAATTCAAACGGGATCGAAAGATAACTTTTCTCTCGCCATTGACTTCAATACATAATTTTTCCGAAATAAGGTCCCATGGAGTTCCACCGGATAGGGAGGGACTGCGACTCACTATGAGCGCGTTCACGTGAAAGGGGCGGGGTTAGCAACATTTGACCAATCACAAACATGGACAAGCGTACTGACAGCAGCACAGAGTCATACTTCCTGAATGAAAAGTAAACAATGATATTAGACAAATATGTTTGATGCGTACATTAACAGTTGTATGATATCACTGCCCCATCTAAGACACGATTGGATCTGACTTGAATTACATTTGACTTGTGTTTCGTCAACTTAATGTGTTGCTTAAAATAATACTTAACTGCAAACAGTATGTGACACTGTGAGTGTTGCACGGCCAGATACGGCTCGATAAACTGACACAGATAAGGAAATATGATATATTATGATATTATATGATCGATGATGTGATTGTTGATGTGATATGAATGATAAGACACGTCGGCGTCTTTCCTGCATACGGAAGTTTAAACTGTATTTCTTTTATTCTGTAATAGGACTTGATAACTTTAAATTCCCCACACTGAGCTCTGATTGGTCAGCAGGCGGTGCTTTCACTGAGTTGATCTCTTATCTGGAACCAAACCTCCAGAGCAGGTTAGGTGTTCAGCATAAGTTACCATGGAGATCTACCCCGGTAAGAAGTGAACCAGCGTCATAGGACAAAAAACTCAGAGTTAACCCTGAAGTTACCTCGCTAACTGCAAATCCTGCTTCATAGCCACTGATTTGCCTGTCTAACCTGGAATTAAAAGTATTTTTGTTGTACAATACTTTGTGTCCTGCATTTGGGTCCACCCTGCTCTGCTCACAACCTTGACAGTCTGCTGAGCCCCCCCCTCTCAGAGAGTGAGACGCTGTGGTTGCTCTGCAGGTTCCCTGGTGTCTCTGTAGGAGGAACTCATGTTCTCCCTTCAATTACAGGCTTCAGCTCCTTAGCAACAAAGACAGAAACTCAATTGAACTGAACAAATGTGACAGGTGCTACTACACCCCAAACTCTTTTATGACACTAGGCAGATTGTAACAAAATAGCATTGATTACTACAACTGGTTGTGTGTAAATGATCATGTCTGAGTGTTTCAGGCCGTTAATGTTTACACATTGATTCCTGAAAATGTATTTATCTTTTCATGTAAACTTACAATACAGTGAACAAAATAGCAATAGGGAGAATTTCAATGCAGTCATTTTTAAATCATAGAGACATTCTCTATTTGATATAAATGGGAAGATTGTGTCTAAAAAAGGAAGCATTTTTAATGACTTGAAAATGTCAGTATGCTGTGATGGCCTGAGACAGAAGAGACTAGGCCTCTTGCATCGCTGGTTAACGTCAGAACCAGCTAATAAAAAGTTTCCTTTAATCTGTGTCCTTTTTTAACTTTCAAGCTTAAATTTAGACATCCCGCCCAAAATAGAATCAATATGAACACAACTTAAAGGTGACCTATCATGCAAAATGCACCTTTGTACGTCTTTTATACATGAATATGTGTCCCCGGTGTGTCAGGGAACTCACCAAGTGTCAGAAAACACAACCCTCTCTCTTTTCCTCCATACCCAAATCTCTAAAAACGGGGCTGCAACGGATCTGATACAGATTTGAATTTTTCTGACGTCAGAAAAGGGGTGCTCCGCCTATATGGGCAACTCTCCACCTATCAGGGGAATGGGGGGTTGGGCCACGGCCATTGCCGCTCGACAGCGCTGGAGACGCTGTAGTACATATGCCAGGCCTGTAAGTGGCGCTGTAGTCTGCCACAAAAGCAGCGAAGAAGACTTCTCACAGAATCAGCCCTTGCAAAAACAGGGCTGGAAAAGAGCAAATAGAGCGAAATGAGGCATGGCTAAAATGCATGATCTGTTTGGTATTTTGAAAAAAAAAATTCACAGACATGTTTTATATAGGTATGGCCCTACAATATATGTTTCAAATATAGCATGATAGGTCCACTTTAAATGACGCAAGAGGAAATGTCGACAGCCCAAAGCTAAAATGCATTCCTCAGTGAGGATAATGGTTCACACACTTGACAAAATGTGTGAGCGTTTAGCTTTTGAAACACAGGCTACATTTCACCGAATATGATCTGAAATCATGTCCAATTTTGTAATGTTGGAAGCAATAAACAGATTAAGAGCAAAGCTGTCGAGTCACTTCAGGAGAAATCTCGTTGGTCTTCGGTCTTTAAATTGTTGATGGAATGAATAAACAAAGATTACATCTAAACATGTATAAAGTTAAGAGAACAGGTTCCTGTAGTAAAATATTTGGCTCATTTGGCACCTTTACAAATATATAAAAGTGACCATATAAAACATCTCAGAGTGACTGGGTGACTGATTTGCAGTGGAAAAGTTGGATAAAGGTGGATAAAGTTGGAGGCTGTCACTGCTGGAGGCCCAGGATGGTGGTAAAGGCATGTTTGACAGGCCGGGTGAAAAAAAGGAAAAGTCCAACAAGTACTGTAAAGCATTACTTTTGCTGCTGAGAATAGGATTGAAAAAGATTAATATTTTAAAAGACATCACCTCATGGCCAGTATGGAGGAGAATGATTACAGAAAGCAACACATCTAAAGTACAAAATAGCATATGATGAGTATTGAACAAAGATTCACTTGTAAAAATACTATCTTTATGGTGAGAAGGGGCCAGATTTTCACATGGCTTTTGATAAACTACAAACCATCCGTGTCCAGTGTTCACAAACAATGAATATACCATATGAATAGACTCCAGCTGTAGCTGGCCTTCATGCACAAATTGTGTGGAAGGCTGTGTGTGTTTCCTCTGAGGAATGACTTACTCCAGCCTCTCTGCATTCTCCTGTCTCGTTAGGGTTCTTCATTTCATATTTCTATTTCAAGTTGACAGTGACACAGAGCAAATTTTCATCCGTCATGTATAATCCCTTCTTTACTTTGTAGGTATTGGTAACACACATTTGCTTTGTGTTCAGTCCGAACACTTATCAGACTGAGGTCCTCTTTGTTTGTAATAGAAGTGCTGGGACTCGAGAGAATTGCTTTGCTGTGTTACTTATCATTGTTTGTTCTTGAGGCTCAGCTCCTTCACATTTCATAACAGCTCATCACTTTCATAATGACATGAATAACTGAAACACCAGCAAGTAAGACCTTTATATCTCTTAGTCTCATTTTGTCCCGTGTGCTGCTATATATTCATTAAAAACACTTGTCTGCACCCTTCTGTCACAGTTACAGCTAACCAGTACCCATGAAATACCGTATTTTCTTCTGAGCATGGCATTATTACTTCTTTGAACACTTTATAAACTCAATCAGTTCTGTTTGGTTTGGTTTTTCAATTTGAAGCACCATTGAGCATCTGAGTCTCATACAGCTGGGGTGGATTCCTGCTGCTTAGATTTCAGATTCACAACTCTTAGCACTCGTCATAAAGATGTGGTTCACAGCTCACCTCAGGAGCAGTTCACAGTGTCAGAGACATTGCTACAGTCATACTGCAGTACAACTCTGACATGTGTTTAGCATGTTTATGCCTCAGCGTATGGCAGGTGGTACTGCTCCTCCCTCTTGTTACATCGCTTGGCTACGATGGCCAGGTAGAGCACCAGCAGAATGATCCAGTAGCAGGCGTAGAGTATCGTCCCCGCTATCAACAAGACCTTTTCTGTCTCACTAAACGGCTCCTGTGTTTCACAGTAGATTGTATACATCACACCTCCGAGCAGTACAATAGCCCACACTGTGACAGGCACAGCGCCGATGAAGTTGACTACGATCTTCCTGCGGCCTGAAGTGCCCCATCCAGCCTTATTGATGGTGAGCAGAGCAAATATTTTGGCAGGAAGCAAGCTGGACATGTAGAGTAGAGAGTAGAGTGACATGAAGATCATGACCAGGTTGCCACGAAGGAAAACAGGGCCGTAGGTGGCCTTCACCATCCCAACCAGTTGGACCGTCATAGAAAGAGCAGAATGTTCCACAGCCTTCCACGGTAGAAGAGATGGATGACTGTGGCAACCAGGGGAAAAAGGGGAAGAAGCCGGTGACCACAGACTCATAGGTCATCCAGAGGCTGTGCTTGTGGAACCACAGGGCGTTATAGAGCCACTCACGGAAGTAAGACTTGCTCCATCGAGTCTGCTGGTTAAGCCAACGCAGATACTGGGTTGGAGTCTCAGTCTGGCACTGCGATCGCGCAGTAAATTTAGTCTTGTAGCCGAGGCTGAGAACCCGATTGGTGAGGTGGCGGTCGTCCCCGAAGCTGCACTTGGAGCCCAGGAAGGTCTGATGGTACCAGGGCTCCAGGAAGCGCTGGAGCAAAGAGTTCCTATACATCCCCAGAGGGCCGCTGATACACTGGACGCAGCCAAAGTAGGACTGGCAGGCCCGCTCGATGTTGAAGGCCATCCAGTAGCGCACGCTACTGAGGAATGAGATCCACGAGTCATACTTGTTTAGGATCTGGAGGATGGAAAAAGCGGAGAGAAATCAGTCGGAACAAGTTTATCGAGGAAAAATAATTGTACATTCATGCTATGCTGTAAGGAGCCTTCACACATACCTTTAGAGGAGTGGTCACCAACCTTTTTAAGCCCAAGATCACCGACCTCGGCCTAGGTGAAAGGCGAGATCTACCTATTGCGGAATTGAGTGAAAAAGACGGCCCAGACAGTGCTTCCAATTTGAGGCCTTTTTATATAGACTAATTGCATCTGAATTACTGTTACAATGAAGGCTCCATAATCAGCTCACGGCATATAGGCAGGGGTAAAGTGCTATTTTTTTACGAGTGGGAGGCGGACTTCACCTCCTCTAGGGGGGTCCTCACCTCCTCTAGGTCCTCACCTCCTCTAGGGTGGTCCGGGGGGATGCTCCCCCGGGAAGATTTTTTTTAAATATTGAAGTTAAATGCATCAATCTGGTGCACTTTGAGAGCAACATGAAGAGATCTATGGATACCTCTCTCAACACCCAGATGAAACAGAACTATAAACAGATTTTCTTTTTCTTTATGGATATTTTACAAATCACTCCCCTTTTAAACTTTATTCTTGTTTTACTGCCATATAGTATTTCATACCTGTTTTTCATGTATTCTCTTATTGTTTGTATAACTATAATGATCATATGAAGGTGTGCCGCGGAAATACTCTTTTGAATAATTTGTGACAAAACCGTTCTAAACACTCCTTACAGCAGTCCTTTAGCTCACCTGAGCCCCTCAGTCTGACAGGGGGAGGACTCTCCTCCAGCTTGTTGTGGAAACAGCTCCTTATGTCCGTTAGTGCAGCTAGCTAACCAGATGCTAACATGACAGTCCCCGCTAGCACCGGTCCCTCTCTCTCCCTCTCTCCCTCTTTCTCCCTGTCTCTCTCTCCCTCTCTCTCTATCACACTAAATGCGCTATTGCCACACACACACAGAGCCGAGCTTGAATGACACAAGTACACGTGTATTTCCATGCAACTCTCTGATTGGTCTGGTGTTTTCTGTTGCATTCACTGAACACGGGAAATTGCATTCCTGCCGTCCTCTCTTGTGTCATGATGAGGTTCACGTAAAGCACGGTTAATGTATTATATTATTGAGGTGTCTCAAATATACGTCAATCAAGTGGCACCTGCTAACGGGGTGGTGGATGATAGGTTTACATCTAAAAACGTATTTTTCAAACATTATTATTTTTATTTTATTTTTCTTTCTTTTGTTACTTTTTTTGTAACGGTCCGCGATCTACCCGCACCACACTCGCGACTGGTTGGCGACCACTGCTTTAGAGGGTCTAAGTTGACTTGTAGACTAAACATCCTGGGGCTTAAATATACTTTTACATTTGTATATGTTTACAATTGAAAGGTACCTGTACGTCTCCACCAACTCCTCCCACCATTGGATCGTCCTCAAGGATCTTCAGCATTTCAATGGTACATGCTGGGTCCAGAACGGTGTCCGAGTCAGACACCTGACACAGGATACAACAAACACAGAGGGTGCAATCATTCTGAGAATCACACAGACCTAAACATATGCATCCTTTGGTCAAATTAAGGCTGCAGGTGTTTCAGAGCACTGAGTAGTATTTATGCTCAAAATCATGAGTGAAATGAGAGGCTGCTGACAGAGATCCCAGCTGGGTAATTCTAACCACAAGGAACTGGGTCAGCTGTGGACGTGACCTTTGACCCAAAGCCAGGGCACAGAGGGCATGCAACAGCTGGCTGCGTTGTTCATTTGGATTGGAGGGCATATAGGTAAATACAATAAGTCAAATGTTTGTAGTTGTCTTGGGTTGCTGTTGTATTATAAACGGGTTTAAGGTGAGTCACAGAAGTTTCAAATATAGTTCTACTTCCTCTTTGATTTAAGATTGTTAATCGCCTTAACATGTAGTTTAAGGTTATTTTTGTCTCTGTAGACTCAAGAAAACAGAAAGGCAATGTAAGGAAACGAAAGAATCACATGTACCTTATGGTTCTGTTTAAGCACACTGCAGTGTTTCTACAGTAACAGTTTTGCTTCAAACACACTGCTTACATTTTGCAAATAATGTCCAGGTTTAAGTCTAAATGTATTCAGAGGAATGGTGATATCTGTTTACACCAGCTAGGAGGCAAGGCCGATATAAATACCAACAATAAACATGAGCACATTTTTTATTCTGCAATCGATGTGGCAAAGGGGCCACATCGATCACATTACGGTCCAATCCTTGTATGTATACTTTGATGCATGCATACGTTTTCTGTGTGTGGCCCTTACCTGCACATAATCCACACTGTCCCCCAGTGCTTTAAAGGCTGTGTACATCACCTCTCTTTTGCCCCCCCACTCCTGCATGATGCAGGAGTACCGGCAGCCTCTGACCAGCCGGGCCACCCGTGCAGCCTCCTCCATGTGCACCGTGCTCCTTCCTCCATCTCCCACTCCTCCTCCTCCTCCCCCATCACTGTGGTAGTTTCCCTTCCACACCATACTGCCAGCTTGGTCAGCCCCACCCATCACCTCCTGGAAAATGTCAATCATGTAGCGGTCTTCTGGCCGGTTCCCGTCCACCACTAGCACCACCTTCAGGCCAGGGAAGGAGATCCGGCGGATGCTGCGCAGGCACTTCCTCAAGTAGTCCGGGTCCTCCTGGAAGGCAGCGATGCAGAGGGCAACGGAGCGACGGAGGTGCTGCGGCCGGGCGGGGGTCCTCATCTGCCGGTGCTCTAGGAAAGCAAAGAGGCTCTGGAGGAAGAGATGGAGGGAGAGGAACGCACCATAGAGGCCGAAAGAGAGGTGGTGCTGCTCAGTGTGGATGAACTGGTAGCCTGAAATACAAATAAAAGACAAGTTAGATTTGCATGAGCATCCTTTGTTGTGATTCTCATGTACATGTGTCTCTATACTCTCCTCACTCACCTGTGACATAGGCCAGCAGGATGGTGAAGAGGACCACCGCAGCAAAGAGGGTGGTGGCCACGATGTTCAGCGCATTCCTGCAGCGAGAGGGCATCTGGGGGAGAGGAGAGGTTGAGGAATGGTAAATGGACTGTACTTATATAGCGCTTTATCCAGTCTTTAAGACCCCTCAAAGCGCTTTACATACGACATGTCTTTCACCCATTCACACCCATTCATACAGAGCAGTGTATGTTACTCTAGGACCTAACATGCATACACATTCACACATGCCATCGGGAGCAACTCAGGGTTAAGTATCTTGCCCAAGGATACATCGACATGTTGACTGCATGGGCTGGGATCGAACCCACAACCTTCTGGTTGAAAGACGACCGCACTCCCTCGCAGCCACAGTCGCCACAGTCGAGGACAGCGCTCGAGTTATAATCTGAGCTTTATGGGGGTCTTTAAAACTAACGTGTGTGCACGCACGCGTGTGCACACACACACACACACACACACACACACACACACACACACACACACACACACACAGTATAAATAATACTCATTACATTGACACATGCATTATTTGTGATTAAAATAATGGTTGTTGGTAATGAAATAGCGACCCCCACAGATGTATGATTTCATAGGAGCTCAGACCCTCCTTATGGGAGCTCAGCTCCCATTGGCTCCCACATAACTCCAACCCTGGTTGAGGAGGTGGGGGGGCCACAACAGATGTGAAGGTTAGAATTGTGTAATGTGAGGACACATGTTCAGGTTTTGTGGAGTGAAGATGAGGTGGGAATACAGTGAGAGAGGAAGAATAAGAGGACGGTCAAAGAGGGTGAAGTGAAGGAGGAGAACACGAGCCAGGCCGGGAAAGAGACAAATAAAATTGGGCCTGTGTAAACTGTTTGAATCACAGCAGCGATTAAAACAACCTCACTTATTGAATGGATTTTCTCTGTATGCTTTGAAGTGAGCATGTTTTAAGTACATGAAAGCGTGAGCATAAACAGGTCTGTTGTGAGGTGAGACTCAGAGTCTTACTGAAGGCTCTGACAGAGAGAGCTTGTAACTCATTTGTTGACCTAAGTGTCATTTCCTGTTTCCTGTGTGTTCTGTGAAACCTTTCATTGGCCGGCTGCAGTCAGTGACATCATGGAAACATGGTGGCAGAAGAAGATGAAAAAAAAGCCCAGTGTGCAGTCATTACAGCTACAGTACTATTCTTACTATTCCACTCTTTCTATTACAGGGACTACTTATTTACAACTTTTAACAACAGAAGAAGTTAGTTGTTAGTGTTAATCCAAAGTAAAATCTCATATGTACCCTCTGTAAGTACCCAAAACCTTAAACAACAACAACAACAACACACATTCTGGTACTTCAAGTGTCATGGTCCAGTGAATAATAGCTGATTAATAATGTACTACCAAACGTATTCATCCATCTTCACCCAGCCGTCCAGTTTGTTGCTAAGTAATAGTCAAACTTGACTAAATAGTTAAAAAATACCTATACATTTTTAAGTTTGCAAAGAGTTACCCCTGTCTTCCCTAAATGTACATATTGGTCCCTGGTACATATGTGTACATGTACAGGTACACTGTAAGTAAATACTATTTAAAAATATGATTTTACTTCTGCTGCTCCAGTAATAGTTCTGAAGCCTTTCAGTACAACTAATGCTGCAATCAGTAGCTACTGCTACTGCATACGACTATGTACTATGTGAGTATACTCCTGGTGATATAGTTATACTTCAACTAGAACTATTGCTACTGGTACTACTGATGGGGCAAACAGTCACCAGGAAGAAAGAATAGTACTACTGCACTTTAAGAGTTAAACTCCTGAGGGGAGACTTATATATATCACCATTACTTTTCCCCACCAGACTCAATTAATTTAATTACTTTTTAGTATCGAAGTTTTTTGAAATGGTTAGTGTAAATATCCAGTTATCTCATTTAATATGTACTAATCTGAAATCTGAATATTGGATAAAGCCACATTCAAAATTCTTGTTTCCTTTAGTTAAGATGTTAAAAAAAATGTACAGTGCAGATTTTGGATTTTCCTTTGTATGATTTAAGTGTAATAAAAAAAAAATCAACTATGCAACCAGAGGCGGGAAAAGTACTCAGATCTTGTACTTAAGTCAACGTAGAAGTACCAGAGAGTAGGAATGTTACAGTAAAAGTCCTGCAATCAAAAATGTTAGTAGTAGAAAAGTATTCTCATCAAAATATAGTGAAAGTAGCGACAGTAAAAGTAGTCATTGTACAGATTGGTCCATTTCAGAATAATATTATGATATGTTTTATAATGATTGATCATTAAAGTGTTCTCAAAGCTGGTGAAGGTGCAGCTAGTTTGAATGACTTTGTATACTGCAGGGTAGCTTGTGGATTTACTCCAGGTGGAACTACAGTCTGATTCAACACTTGATTAGATTTCATATAATTCATCCACATCTGTGAAGTAATTAAAGGTATTCAATACATGTAGTGGAGTAAAAGTACACCATTCACAGCTGAATCTTGGTTAAGTAGAAGTACAAAGTAGCAAATTAAAATACTGAAGTAAAGTACAAGTATCTCAGAATAGTACCATTCAGCACAATCTACTTAGTTACTTTACACCTCTGCATGCAACAATTACAGCCCAGAACCGTTTGAAGAGGACAGGGAACTTTGAACTGCAATCTTTAGGTGAAAGAACTTAAGGGTTGAACAACACCTGCCCATCTGTTCTCCCCTCTTTCATGCCCCCCCCCCCCCCCCCCATCAGGCCCTCTGGCGCTCCCTCTCTCCCTCTCTCTGGGTTAATAGTTCTAATTAAAGGCCAGTCAGGGTTTGGCCAATGCTTGGTCAAAAACTTTGGAGGAACAATTCTGCCCTTTCATTCATGAAATTACCTCCTGCAGCGCACACCCCCTCCTCCCCGTCCACCCGCCCCCCCTCAGACAGCCTGATATTAATGGAGTTACATTCAGCTCTAAGACACTGGCACACACACAGTTTTCCTCCTCTGGGGTTCATGTATAGATTGACATCCTGGCACTGATCACACGTTCTTCACACATCTACGTTCTGAAGCAGAGGATCCAGAGAAATGTGACACGCAGGTTCTGACAGTGGAATGTAGTCCTCTCTGTTCGCATGTATGATCCTGCTGACTCAGAGTTCTGTTTCTATTGCCATTGTTGTTCATGTTAATTGTTGCAGAATTATTCTGGAGAAGAACGTCAGATCAAATGCTGACAACAAATCCATCACATAAAAATAGAAGATAAACCTGCATGTTCAGAATATTCAGTGCAATTTCCTGAAATACAATTAATTAAATTAAAATGTTGTTTTTGTTTGCCAAGTTTTTAACTAATGTGTGCAGTTTCCTTGTGTAGCTCAAACATGGAAATATTGTGTTCAATATTATTATATTGTAAATTGTTTTGTATTTAGATGTATATATTGATATTGTAGTTTGTATTGTACTTAAATTGTACATATAGTATGTAATATGCTTTGAGCTTCTGCTTGAGGTATGATCTATGATTATGATGATCTCAGGCAGCATGCCTTAATGTCCGGGGGCCACATAACAAGCAGACAGTAACATGGACAGTGTGATGGGCCACAGTCACCATACAGTATGGTATTAGTCATTAGGACAGTGTGTGTTTGTGGGGGGGCCGGGGGGGTTGTCATTTATAAGATGTCTGAATTCCTTTTCTCTCAACAGCCCAAGGAAGCATATTTCAATGAACGGTAGATCCAAGAGCTTCCAGTATCTCTTTGTTCAGAAAAGAAGGATTTTGTCTGTCACAGTGCAGCAGAAGTAACGTCACCATCAAGTCACCATCAAGTCACCATCAAGTACCAGCAAGTACTTCTACTCTAATTTAATTAATGAAACTTTGAAAGATCAAAGGCAAAAATAACTTAGCGAATCACCTTAGGATCTTCGGTAGGAACTCAATCAACCTGGGTAAACGTGGTCAAAATGGCATCTGACTTATTAGGTCCTCGCAGAACTGGTGATATATAAAAGCTGAAGCTGTCACTCTGTATCCCCCCACATATCCAAAATGATTCTGAAGTGATGCTGGTCAAATTCTCCCACCACATATACACGTCTATGTCCAGATCCAGATTGGGGTGCAGATAATTACAAGTCCAAAGTAAGATCATTATAAAGAGGATGATAGATGTAAATCAAATGTAAAGAAAAGTCCCAGGTTCAAGTAATAGTATCCCGATTTATATCCCAGGAGTTACATGGAAGAAACCCAGCCCTCTGACGCAATGGGCTGGGGGTCCAGGTGAGGAGTCGGGGGTGTGGCTGAGGGACGGTTTGGCTTCAGGACAGGGGCTTTACACAGGGAGGGAGAAGGCGGAAGGGAGGGGAATGGGGAGATATGTCAGGATGGAGCAAGAGAAGGAGTGAGAAGTGTCAGGAAATAGGGCTGCTGTAGACTGTGAGCGCAGGCTTCCCTCAGACCCTCCCCTCTCCCTGGAACAGTGCTGCTTGGACACAATACATTTGGCATCCTGTGTATACTTAAACTGTACTGTTAAACTGGTTACATTTTTTGGACACTTTTGGGGGCACATAATATGAATGTATCAATATACAACCTGTTGTATATTTATTCGGTTTCATCAAAAGAGGAGAAAGCATCTGACTTCACTAGAAGCTCTATTTGGCTAACCCTCAGTGAAGGGTTCATCAGGTTTTTGCTACAGCTCATTCAGCCTTTTTCATTCTGGTGGAACATATAGTATATGCCATCTTTTATACATTTCCCTGAGATTCAAGACTAGTTTGTTTTAATATAAAGTCTTCTCACACATGAATCTTATGAACCTGTCTTTATGAAGGTAATAAAGTACTAACTTTTAATGTATAAATGTTTAATGTCTCTATGGACGTATACACCAGAGGGAAGCCAGTTCTGAAGGTGAACAGACTGAGAAGACACGCTCTACATGTTCAGTTTCTCTGCATTCACTTGTGCTAGTCATGAGGAAAACTCTCCTGAAGATGTTGCCACTAGATGGCTCTGTGTTGCTGATCTGATCAAATGCTCTCAGCTGAAGAGATGTGTGTACAGTGATGACGGTGATGCAAATGCAACGCAGTTTGTCTTTTATCCAATGGAGAATACCTTTAGGCTTTGAAATCAGCTGTTATAAGTCATGAGAATCCTTTAAATTTTTTGGGCAATTTTTTTTCTTTTTTTGGACAGTTACAGTAAAGAGGCACACATGAATTGGACGGAGAAGACAAGACACCCAGCAAAGGTCCAGCTCCAACAACACTGGGTGGTTGTGGTTATGTTTAAACTCGGAGTGTATTCAATAAGACCATCTCTTGGCCCCGTTGATGGGGCTTCTGAGGAAACACGATAAAATGTTTCCTTTACTTTGAATGTACTGACATGTTCCTCTCTGGCTTACAAAAACACAGAGTAACAGTGGCACAAAGTCAAAGTCATTAAAGGACACTTATCATGCTATATTTGAACAATATATTGTATGGCCATACCTATATAAAGTATATAAATATAGTTTTTTTTTCAAAATACCAAACAGATCCTGCATTTTAGCCATGCCTCATTTTGCTCTATTTGCTCTTTCCAGCACTGTTTTTGCAGGGGGCTGATTCTGTGAGCTGCAGCTGACCACGCCTCCCTGCAGGAGAGGGGTGCGTGCTTTGAGATCAGCTGCTAGGCTGCAGCGGGGAGAAGAGGGGGAGAAAAAGAGATCTCCGTCCTCCGTGTTTTATTCTTATATGATTTATATAGAGTCGTTATTCATTTGTTTTAAAGCTCAATAAATAACAAAGAAGACCTTTGACCGGCACTTTTCTAATTTTGTCCAGAAGATTTAAACTTTAACGGACATGTTGACCGGCGAAATAAAATCTAACTGAAACTCTGCCGCATGGCAGAGGTGGGGACTCGAGTCACATGACTTGACTCGAGTCCGACTCGAGTCGCATGTTTTTGGACTTGAGACTTGCTTGACTAACATTGATAAAAGACTTGACTTTGACTTGGTATTCATGGTAGTCCTAGCTATATTGTCTACAGTTCTAGGGTTAATATGAATCTAATATGATTGTCATTGGTCTAAATTAGATTTCAAATGATTAACTGTGTATGTAATGAAGATCATGTGGGTTGAATCCATTTTCATAACCATTGTCTTTTAACTGATTTAAATGCGGAAACTGGGCTTATTCATCAGAATGTTGTATGACTTGACTTGCTTGACCTGAGCAATGACTTGACTTGACTTGCTTGACTCTCACCACAGTGACTTGGGACTTGCTTGATACTTGTAGGTCAAGACTTGAGACTTGCTCATGATGTGCACATGTAGGACTTACTCCCACCTCTGCCGCACGGTCCCCTCGTCCCTTGGAAGAGGCGGAGAGGTGGGTGTTTGTCATCTGCTGGTGGACTACCGTAGAGAATTACAGCGAGGGAGGGATTGCAATGAATAACAGCAGCAGGAGCAAACGCTTGCCTCGGGGAGGGAGAAAAAGAGCCACAGCGGAGAATAAACAGAAGGGCAACCATGCGCGGGAAGTCTTCTTCGCTGCTTTTGTGGCAGACTACAGCACCACTTACAGGCCTGGCATATGTACTACAACGTCTCCAGCGCTTTCGAGCGGCAATGGCCGGCGGTGGCCCAACCCCACATTCCCCTGATAGGTGGAGAGTTGGCGATAGAGTGGCAAAGTCACGCCCATCTACTTCCGGTCCATGAGACCTTATTTCGGAAAAATAATGTATTGAAGTCAATGGAGAGAGAAAACTTATCTTTTGATCCCGTTTGAATTGTGCCATGAATTACACATATGATGTTTGTCAATCTTAAAAAATAATTTACATGTCAAAAAAGTCACAGTTTGTCTTAAAACTGTTGAAATATAAGACGCAAACTAGAAAGACTACAAATCCCAGAGTCGCGTAAGTGATGTCATAATTGTTTTCCTCCACTAAGAGATAGCTAAGATCAGCGCCATATAGATAGAATCTATCTATCCATATAGATAGAATCTATCTATATGGCGCTGGCTAAGATAAGATAACTTTAACAAGATGCCTGTGTGCTTAGTACCAGGTTGTTATCATACCAGCAATGGGTCTTGCTCGTTCTTTCGCTTCCCGTCTGATGAAAGGACCAGGAGTGGCTGGATCAAGTTAGCTACCTAGAAAATTATTCAAATCTGGATCAGTCTGTATCAGATCCGTTGCAGCCCCATTTTTAGAGATTTGGGTATGGAGGAAAAGAGAGAGGGTTGTGTTTTCTGACACTTTGAGTGTTCAAATCAGTGAGTGTGAATACATCCTTACCACTGTAGAAGGATGAATATCTTTGTTCCTTCAAAAATAACTAATGCTAGTCTTTGCTTTAATACCTCATATTATTATGATACCCATCAACTGAATATTATCACCTATTCTTCTGTTTGTCTGGATCAGAGTGTGGGGTACTTTATAGACCACACCTGAAATCCCAGCAGCTTTGTGTGAAAGTCAACCAGAGCAGGCAGGTCCAGTACTGATGCCATGGAAAATCCAAAAGCCGTCAAACAGGCGCTCTGAGTGTTCCTGTTTCCTAACAGTCACTGTCTGCCTCCACAGAGGGGAAAGCAGCATGCCAGGAGGCAGCACACACACACCAACACCGCACATCATTTACATACATATATACACACTTAACCCATAACTGAGTCCTTTTACACCTTCCAAGGGAAAATGTAAGCAGAAACGAGCAGCAGTTCAGTTCCAGAATTTCTTTAGTTCTGTTCAAGTGATTAGTTGCCTCACATTTATTTGCTCACTTACACGCACACACACACACACACACACACACACACACACACACACACACACACACACACACACACACACCACACACACACACACACACACCACACACACACACACACACACACACACACACACACACACACACACACACACACCCCACAAACAAGAACACACTCAAGTCTTTGTGCTTCAATTTCCTACTAAACTTAATTTTGCTCATTTCAATTTTTATAAAACGTTCCATTCACTTTCATCATAATTGATCTCACTTTTGAGTATTTTTATTGATTCTCCTTTCCTGAACCTTTACACGACCTGCCAAACCTCAAGTATCACTTCCAAACCTCTTCTGGATCATTTTATAAGTTACATTATTACATTACATTGCATTTAGCTGACGCTTTTATCCAAAGCGACTTACAATAAGTGCATTCGACCAAGAAGAAGAAGTTCCTAATACTAAAGCCATTTACACTCACCCTGTACAGAAGTGAGGACCACCAAAAGACAGATATGTCCTATCTTTCTTTCTTTGTGGGGGAATTAATATCTTATGAACAAAGTCTCTCAGAAAGCATATTATTAAAACCCTTACCTTCCTGATCCAGTGGACCCTCCGTCTTTGGTCTCCCCCCAGATCTCCGTCCGTTGAGCCGGGACGTCCAGCCCTCTACTCTCCTCAGCACAGCGCTCTCCTTGTTCCTCACCCCTCCTTCCACTCGCTCACACTACATCTTTATTCCAGCTTGCTTGCTTAATTCAGGAGATCCCACATCCAAAAATACAGCATGCAGCTTAAACCTCCACCACCTCCCTGAGCCGGCCCCTCGCCTCCTCCTCCTCCTCCTCCTCCTCCTCCTCCTCCTCCTCCTCCTCCTCCTCCTCCTCCTCCTCCTCCTCCTCCTCCTCCTCCTCCTCCTCCTCCTCCTCCTCCTCCTCCTCCTCCTCCTCCTCCTCTATCCCCAGCTGAGATGTGATCAGAGGTGCTCCAGCAGCAGCTGATGCTGGTATGTTCCTGCGTCTGTCTGACAGGTGGGGGCTACAGCTGGTGGAGTCTCTGCTCTCCAGATTTCCATCATGAGCACGGGGCCAAAGTGATGGTGAAGCTGAAGGTGAAGAACCCGGGCCAAAATGGGGACACCGATCCTGGCTTCGTCCGATTTCTTCCTTGCCCCCTGCAACAAATCATCCCCAGCCCCCCCCCCCCCCCCCATGCTGCTCTGCAGTAAGTCGTTTCTGTGTCCCCTGTTTGCAGCAGAGCCGGATTCTTCACCCCTCTCACACGTCCTGCCGGCTGGCTGATCAGCACTGCTGAGCCTCTCCTCCACAGCTCCCCTCTGTCTCCTCTCACCCCCCCCCCCCCCTCCCTGGATACCCCAGCTAGCTCCCTATCTCTCTGCAATGCAGCCAGCAGCCTCCAACAAGCCGGGGGACTGTTTGCCCCCTCTCCTCTCCACCTCTGAAAGCATCCTTTATGGGCTTATTTATCTATCCCTCCCCCCTCGCCCTCCCTCTGCTGTGTGAGGCTGAGCTGCTGACGTCCTGCAGGCTGCACAAACTGCAGTACGCCTCCGACAATCACTACATGACCAACAAAACCTCTCAGACACATTTAAATAATATTAGAATAGATAGAACCTAAACACACTCTCAAAGGTAAGGCAGTCCCCAGCTTCAGAGCCTCGCTCACTCCTTCTAGCTCACTCCTTCTAGCTCACTCCTTCTAGCTCACTCCTTCTAGCTCACTCCTTCTCGCTCACTCCTTCTCGCTCACTCCTTCTAGCTCACTCCTTCTCTCACTCCTTCTCGCTCACTCCTTCTAGCTCACTCCTTCTCGCTCACTCCTTCTCTCTCACTCCTTCTCTCTCACTCCTTACTGTAGTAGAGCCTCATGGCTTCAGCACTGCCTTCCGGCTCTCACTTGGAAAACTAACTGAAGGTGAACATATTACATATTACTTTTGGTAACCAAGAGTAAACTTATCGAAAAGTAACTAATTGTTTTTAATGTCAACTAATGGAATAGGGCGGGTTTATCATGCATCACAGTCTCAGCAAGGTGACCTAAATGATCATTACCTTCTTTCTTCCAGTGTTATAACATTTTCTCCTTACACTATTTTGGGGAAATAGAGACATTGCCTGATAATACAAATATGGTGTCTAACTTAAGCTAACAAATGACATGATCAGAGTTTTTGTCCGACAAGTTCCTCTCAAAACCACATGAAACCGGGTTTAGTAGTACTATATGGAAATGTTAGAGTTCAATTGTATTAGCTTACATTAAATGGTTAGTTTAAACCACAGTGAATATGTGTCTGTTGTTTTCCATTATACACTGAACAAAAATATAAATGCAACACTTTTGTTTTTGCTCCCATTTTTCATGAGATGAACTCAAAGATCTAAAACATTTTCTATCTACACAAAATAACCATTTCTCTCAAATATTGTTCACAAATCTGAAAAAATCTGTGATAGTGAGCACTTCTCCTTTGCCGAGATAATCCATCCCACCTCACAGGTGTGGCATATCAAGATGCTGATTAGACAGCATGATTATTGCACAGGTGTGCCTTAGGCTGGCCACAATAAAAGGCCACTCTGAAACGTGCATTTTTGCTTTATTGGGGGGGTCTGGGGGGGTCACTATCACTAACCCTAACCAGTGGATGCAAGAATCCGCTTCAAGACACTGGTACTGGCCCACCGAGCTGTGAAGGGACCAGCCCCTCCATACATCCAGGCCTTGGTTAAACCATACACTCCAGCACGTGCACTACGCTTGGCGTCAGCCAATCGGCTGCTACTACATCTCTGTGAGTGGGACCCAGGTACCCCTCAAAAACACGCCTGTCTTCTATCCTGGCTCCTAAATGGTGGAAGAGCTCCCCATTGACATCAGGACAGCAGAAACTCTGCATATCAAAGCTAAATGAAAACCCATCTATTTCGACTGTACCTTGGCAATTAAATGATTGCTGGAAAATACATTTAAAAAATAAATACTGGGCACTTTTTGAGTAAATGTTGTCCTTGTAACTAATTCACCTGCACTTATGATTGCAGTGAATATACAGTATCTGCAGCACTTTCCTTGTTGTTTGGGGTTTGAATCTTTATGGTATTGCACTTATTGTAAGTCGCTTTGGACAAAAGCGTCAGCTAAATGATATGTAATGTAATGTCTGACCTGGCTTCACTTCCTAAATCAGGGGTAGCTGCTTGGTTTATATATTTTATTTTATTTATATTTTATTTTTGTTGTTAATTGCAGAAAATAAGGTGAAAACCTCCTAATTAAATACAATGTCAGCTCATATTCAACAAACCTTTGTCCATCCCGGAGGCCACAGACACCCTCTTGACCTTCACAGTAATTATTATTCTGCAGGCACAGTGTGTGGAGCTTGAATTGCTGAAAGGCAAAAATGCTGTGTTAGTACCTTCTTTCCTTCTCTAGGGACTTTAACATGGCTTTTAATTACTGCCATCTTTTGGCTGTCTGCACAGAAAAGAATCATGTACAAAACATTGGAGGACGTCTGTTCTGCGCTTCAAAGTGAGCTCAGTTTGTTTGATGGTCTGGCTCTGTATAACACGACACAATCCAAAAAACAATTCTTTATTGTGAAGAAACCAAGCCATATACAGTAAAGACAGAGTAAACGTTTTTTTGTGGTTGTTTCTGACAAAAACTTCTTCAGGGACCTGGTTGGTATTCTGTGTGGATTCCTCAAAACACAAGTCACTCAGGAGTCAAGAACAACAAAGGCAAAATGCCAAAGACAGAACCAATCCTCTGAGGATCATTGGGGACTAACGGAACAACGTTTCAAAGAATTACAACTATACAGCCAAGATGTCGTTCTCCATAGCATCTAGTGGGACCTGGACCAACATAGCGGTACAGTGCCTTACTCCCCAAAAATGAGGCCAGCAAACTAGGAAACGTTGGACAACAGCCACATAGTGTGAGCAACCACTTTAGTATTAAATTACATCACTTTGAAAATAACTGTACAAACTCACAAACCATTTTTTCAATTGTGTCTTAACAGTAAGTGTCCATATTGAAATTGAATAGTTTTTTTGGAATCACTCCTCATCAATACTGAATATTTAGCGACCCCTTGAAAATGTGGTTTCAGTGTTAGTGATGGAAAAGTACAGTGCAGAAAGATGTTACCAAGTTTAACTGAAGCCAATATGATTCTGTTTGAAATACTCCTGGAAGATATCCTGTTGACTTGTCTGTGTGAAATCCACCTTCATCTTACACTCACTCCAATGCAGCGAGGGAAACGAAGGGAATGTTACTACCTGAAGGTACTTAAACGGTCCTACGTTTGTTTCCGTGATAATCTTTTTTAATATATCAACCCAGTCTCGAGCTCATTTACTTGATCAAACAGACCCATAATATCATTTATTTTTAGAGGTAAAAACCTTGCTGCAGGTTATTTTTGGTGACTAACAGAAAATACATACGCCCCAGAGTAAACACAAGTGTGATGTGAGAGCCAGACTGTGGTGGAGGCCTGAATCTGCCACTGTGATGAAGAGCCTGTGTTTCTGCTCCGCCTGCCACAGTGATAGCTTGACTCCGCATTTGGGGAAATATTCCTGGGCTGCAAACAAAGCTAACTCTGCTTCAGTTTGCAGGTTGTATGTTCACACAGAGAAGGTCATGCCTCTTACACTGTTAACCTATTGCCCAATGAATTTAACAAAAGAAGGAATGTCTCATTCTCTTTCAGCTGACTGTTCAAACTCTGCCCGACCCCAGTGCCTTCGTTTTTCTTCTTCTAGTTCACGGATAGTCCAGCTGTAGTCCAGTATCCACTTCAGGCTATTGTTCTTATGAGCTAAAGAAGAAATCATTTGATCTAATGCGTGCCACCATGTTCTCAGAGACAACCTTACGATGGCTGCACCAGTTTTCCGCAGGATCATTCGAGCTTTATTATTTGTTGAGGCTAAATTAGTCCTGTTAACAACAGCAGTATGACCCCACATAGATTTGGCTGTGATTTAATTGCAATAAACGTATATCAAACAGGTGTCAAAATAACTGCCTAATGGTGATGATTATTAAAGAAATCTGAAAGTTTGAATTTTTTTGTTAAATCTTGGATACATTTTCCTTTAAATCAAAATTATACTAATGAATGATCAAATCCCAGAAAAGGGCACTTCCTTATGTGGTATTCATTAAAGGTGGGGTGGGTAAGTTTGAGAAACCGGCTCGAGATACACTTTTTGTTATATTCCATGGAATGCTCTTAACATCCCGATAGCAATGAATATCTGAAGTGCTTTGACAAAAAATCCATAAAGTAATATCATCTGTGGAAGCCGTGGCGCTGTAAAAAGCACGACCAATCATCTGAGCCGGCTAAAGTAACTGGATGGCCTACCTGCCTGTCAGCCTTCCATCTGTGCACAAACTTATCTCGTGCCCTCATTGGTCATGTGCGTGTTCGTGTGTGTTGGAGGAGGGGCTCTGTAAGGAAGTGACAGATTTTTTCCGGTTGTGTATTTTCAAATTCTAGCGCACTCGAGCTGGTTTCTCCAAAATTACCTACCCTACATTTAAAGGTCCCCTATTATACTGTGTTTCATCAATATATCACAGGTCTCAGATATATACAGAACCTGTCTCTGATTGGCTGAAACACCAAACAGATCATTGCAGCATTACCCATAATCCCCTCTGTTTCAGCCCCGTTTCAAAAGTGCTGATTCTCTGTTACTTTAGATG